AATCCTTCAGCAAGGGCCACCTTCATAAATATGATATGGGGAAATTAACAGCAGTATCTGCATTTTAAAAATCCATTTCCAAATGTGAAACGTGCTTGGGTTTGGGTTTTTTCCACTCCAAGACATTGTAACATACTGTGGGATAAATATGGGAGTCTAGGTGCCCAGTGGTATCAGAGGTGAAAAACACTACACAACAAAAAAATCAATTGAAAAAATGTTATGTTTTAATAAGGTTTAAAATCAGATGTTTCTAAGAACTGATGCAGACTTTCTGATAGATACCATGCTTACCTTTTCAGTCCTTGACATGGATTAAGCCCTGGCTCAGCCAAACTCCCAGCCAGCCATTCTTTTACTCCAGAGTTCCACAGGCCGGGGGAGAAAATAGGGTGGAGAAATCTCAGGGGTTGACATAAAGACTCTCCAGGGCTGCAGGAGATGCTGCTCCTACCCTCCTCCTCCTCCTCCCTCTGCTGCCACTCGCCCCTTGGCGTCCTCCTCCCCTGTGCTGCCTTTGGCCCTTGCTGGAACCTGTTTCCCCCCGGTGCCCCCAGCTTGGCTGAGGGGCTCAGCTATGTCCAGTGGTGGGACCTGCTGGGACCAGCTGTGCCCAGCACTGGGCAGCCCTGGCCCCTCCCCACTGAGCCCTGGGCATGGACACCCTGTACATGCTCTCCATAGTGATGCTGGGAGGCAGGCAGTTAGAAGGTGACTAACTTGTACACTATCTAGTTAGAGGTAACTATGTGGAGGATCATGTTCTAATGAGTTCAGTCAGAGTTCTTTTTTTTTAACTCCCAAGCCATCTGTTTCTGCAGGAGTATTGGAGTTTTGTTTAATGGTTACTCACACAGTGTGGATCCAGCAGTGGGCAGGTGAATGAGATCATCAGGCTGAACAAAATGACTCTGCCTGACTTTTTGCCTGGTTTCATAGCCTTCAGTCCTTGTCAGCAGTGGGTAGTAGCTTGCCAAAATGCAGCAGGTAACTGCTTAAATCTATATTAACAGCCATTGGTTTTGCCATACAAATATTCACTAACACAGTGATCAGTACTGAGTGAACAGATGAGCTATAGTCCTAATGTAAGAGAATGAAATGTTTTGTTCAGTTCTGGTTTGATGCATATTTGAGATACAATTCTTGCATAGATCAAGAGCGTGACTCATCAGTGTTGTAGAACCAAGGGTGGACTACAGTAAGAAAGATGAATATTAATAAGCAGTAATATCAATGTATTTTTGTCTTATTTCAGCAGAATAGGCCCTCCGTCTTCTCCTACAGGAGGAGAAAAAGAAGAGAATCCTGCTCTGCTGGCAGAGAACTGTTTCAGGGAACTACTAGGACGAGCAACCTATGGAAATATGAATAATGCTGTCAGACCAGTATTTGCGTAAGTTGGAAATTCATGGAAAGTCTTATCCTAAGAAATTGTTTTTGTTTCATCTTCTATTTACAACGTATTAAATGATTTCATCCTTTTCAATGCAAAGGATTCATTTCATGCTTCTTCACAAAACTGCCCCCCTTGTAATCTCACCTCTTTGTTGCCTGTCTGTTAACTTTCAGGTAGTTACAGAGAAATGTCACATTTTACTGATTTCAGAAGTGCAAGGTAATGGTTTGGATGGGTTGTTTCCTCAGATGGTGTTCTTTTGAATGTAGAACTGTTTATTCAAGCTATTAAGGCCCCATAGGTGACTGTTGCAGTCAATGCAGAGACAAGCCAAGCAAAATATAAGTGCACAAAGGAATGCTGTGCCTGGAATAATACATAAATTTCTACTTTCTTGCTGTTTTCTTCCAAGACCTGTTTTGATTCTCTGTGAGGAATATCTTTAACAGCAAATTTAGCAGTGAATGGCAGATGTGCACCAAGTGTGCACATTATGCACAAATACACACAGCACAAAGTATACCTGATGTATTAACTATTAAACCCAGTGTTTTTCAGTTCTCTGCATTGCCCCAGTTGCTTCCTTAAAAAATATGATGTGAAAAAACCACAAGCATGGAGATAACTTAAATCTGCTTCTTTCACTTCTGGTAGCATCTACAAAGTAGTCATGGTCTCAGGAGAAATCTTTGCAGGAACCTCTAGGCTTGGTCATACTGCTTTCAAACCATGTCTTTTCCTGGTGATGAGGAGAGCTGTTGGCTTCTTGTAGCTTGTTCAAGATACTCACCTGTTAGGAGAATATCTTCTTTTAGGTGACCTAGTTCTTCCCAGAAAGACTTAAGTATTCCATTCATACACTGAAAGATTTTCAAGCTACTGAAAGCCATTTTCAAGTTACTGCTGTTAGGAACAGAAATGCAAAAAGGATGTGGAGATAGGTATTGAGGGCAGAAAACTTTTGTAGCCCCTTGTTTTTCACCCAAAAGCACTAAGTGCAAAGAACAGTGCTATGACCTTACTTTTCATGTGTACCTATTATACCAATATGAAAGAGTTTAACTGTTGCAAAGTTGAATGTTTTATTAAAAAATCTTCATCATTTCCTACTGTTAAAATTCACATTCCTCCAAAATACCTGGCAGTAGATTGAAAAGTAGATGGAAAGTTTAGGTACTCACCAGTCTCAATGAATTATTTAAAATTATACTGCAGGTGCTTTTAACTTTATTTTATGAGATTATCTCAAAACTTTATCAGAGCATGAAGTTAATTCAGTGTTTGCAGAGTCATTTCAGCATCATGGAAGTTTCCCACAAGTAATTCCCAAATTTCCTATGCTGGAGTTTGTGCTTGGTGTGGAATTTGAGATGTCATACCTGAATTTCCTGTGGCAGATCAAAAGCTTTGTGTGTTCAGTGTTGTTTTCAGCTTAATTTCTTTTCTTACTCACTAAGGAGCTACTTGAGTCTTTGTGCACCTGTACATGCCACATGCTGCATTTATGCACTAAACTCAGAAATGAGCAGCTACTCAATGTATTATCTCTTCTATGAATAGAGTCTTTGTGGTCGTCATTTTTGTGTTCCATTTTGAGGAAGAATTGCCAAATTTATCTTTTTATAAGTAGCTGCTGTAAAGGTTTGGTATTTTTGAAGAACGAGAGACATGGAAAATACAATTTCTAAGGTTATCTATTTAATCAGCTTTACTTTGTAAATGTGCAGAACTGGTAGAGTCAAAGTTTGAAATTGTGAGTCCATTGCACTTTATCTGATTGAAAAACCTGATGTAGTTTGCATATGCTTGATTAGAGAACAGTTTCTGCTAACAGTTTTCAACAATGTCACAGCTTTTAAGAAAGCTCTGGAAATAAAGATAAGGCTGCTTATAACAGTGCTAATATTGAAGCTGCAGGTTCAGTTCTCCACTTGAAGGCTTGCTTCATGTGGCACTGGAATATCAGACAACATGCTATCGCTTCCTTGCATCATGAGGTTGAGTATATTCAATTGAGGGATTTAAATATAATGAATATCTTTGAAATCTGAAGCCATTTTCCTGGTATGGGTTTGGATTGATCTCAACTCTCCTTGCCTTTGTCAGAAAATATCTCCATGGCTGTAAGTGTCTACATATAGTACCTAGAAACTCAAATTCTCATTTTTAATGAAATGTGACAGATCAGTCTGGCAGACTCCTTAAGGAAAGTAAAAAATTTTATATATCATATGAAAAAATCATTTCATATGATAATGAAAAAATTTTGTGTTTTGTGTCAACAGTCACAAGCTTTTGCTATTTACCTTGCATGAATTGCGGTGGTGAATAGATGAGGCAGATGCAGAGGGATACAGGCACCTAGTGAATATGGACAACGTCCCAGGTGTAACAGGTGACACCGTGCTCATCTCTGCTTTGCCATTCTGCTGAGTTACCATGTCAGCCGGGCAAGTGTTCTCAATATCAAAAGACTGGTGTTCAATATTCTTCCAGCAAACCTGATGCACGAGAAGATTATATATTCCTATACAGGCCCCAGTTCTGCTTTCTAATCATCAGTATCAGTTTATCCTTTAGTACTGTGAGGGCTGCTTGCCTGTGTGACGATGTGAGTGAAGTAGGGACCATTAGTGGCTCTCACTCCATAAAGTGGTAATTTGCACCCCTGGTTCTGCTGTTCCCTTTTAATCTGAGAAACCTAATTGTGCACATTTGCTATGTATATGCAGCAGATCTTAATGGAAGGCAGTGTTTAGCATTTGTTAATCCAGGGATAAAATGTTTTGCCATCTTAGATATTCTTTGTTAAATGTAATTGGGAGAAAAAATAGGCAAGTTGTGAGTTGATTTTAACTAAATGCATCATGCTGAAAACACCATTTACTGTCTTTTACATAAGCAAAACTACATTGAATACACTGCCTGCAATATGACAACTAAAATACATCACCTGCAATAGTCTACTACTTTTTCTTTGGAGGAAAATTCCAGATAGAAAGTATGCTGTCCATTGAGCTATTAAACAAAACATTAACCTAAGCTGTCATCTTCCCCCTGCTTCTTCCCACCAGTTCAGCTACCTAAAGCAGCTCATGTTTGGGCCTTTTCGGAAAAAGTGTATGTCTTGTTTTGAGAGGAAAGGCTTTGAGATAAACTTTGATATGCAAGATGTAGTAATCTGCCTGAATGGATCTTTAGGGCAGGTAAAGAGGAACTGTCAGGCGTGACAGAGAACACACGGTACACTGCAAGATGAAAGCATCAGTTCTAACCAGGAGAAGACAGTGGAAAGGGTGGTTTTGTGTTTGAGGAGACAAAAAGAAAATAGGCTAGCTACAATAAGCTATCAAATACAAGAAATGATGGGCTGTACTGGAATGGTATTGGGGAGAAAGGAGACATTGTGAACTCCTAAGCCTTGAAGGACTTAAGGAAGAAGGATTTATCCAGTGCAGGGTTAAATATGCCTGTGTGATTGGAACTTTCACAAGGAGGACAGCTATCCCCAACATGCAGTCCAGCTTAGTGATACCAATGCACTGTAATCTTGGCAGGCAAACTTACACCCTTAAAATCCTACAGATCATTCCTGTAGGGATTTCTGTTAAAGGTATAGAAGGTGCCAAAGTGGCAGTACATTGTCCTAGCTCTTCAGTGGACTGCAATATAATTTAGAGCACAGGAGAGGGTAGTTTTATGCCAGCTTGGTTAAACAACCTTGAAGGAGACTGATGTACCCAGCTGGGTCACTAGGCTGGCCAGGGAGTTAATGGAGACCTTCAGATTCTAGACACAGTAAGTTGGAGGATCCAGTCAGTCCTCTTGTGTTCAGAGTTCTGAGTTCTTTCACCTCTATGCTTTCAAGTTCGTGATTTGAAACATCTTTATATGTTTACCACATTCTTTGGGAAAGGGCAGGCTTGTTTTGGTTTTCAGAGTGTTTGGTTGTGGTTTTTGAAACCTAAATAATTCAAATTAAAAGGCATCCCAAATGAATTTTTTTTCACACTTCTAGATTGAAAACTGCATTTATTTTTGTCATGCTTTTCCAGATGGTCAGATTTTGGTTTTGGAAAACTTGATTTGTGCCTTGTTCATAGCTTTCAACTTCGTTATGCAGAATTGTTTTGTTTTGCTTGAAACTCTGACAGAGTTTTTCATTGGTGGTTCCTATGATGTTTAAAAATAAACTGATGCATTTATCATTCTGATTCTGTTTTGATATTTCTTGCAGAAAGCATTGAAATGCTTCAGAGTGATAAAGGAGTATATACACAAAAAGTAGCTCTCTTGTTTTCTGTATGTTTTCATTTTCACAGTGTTTTCATCAATAATATACAGTCTCTATTCTGGACCTAACAGTCTATCTTATTCAAAACAAATTCTATATCTTATTTAGAGTAAGAGTCTGTTAAGGTATTATAACCATCCTCTACAGTGTGTCTCTTTCATGTAAATAAGCAAATAAAGTCACATGCACTTTGTAATAAATGCTTTTCTGAAGTTTTAGTTTTCTGATCTAGGTAGTAAGTCATTCTTTAGAAGCTTTCTGTAAGAAATAATCCCTCTGAGGTGAATTTTGAGAAAACTGTAAGGTGCTATTTATTATATTTGTGGAATATCATTATTTCATATCCCTTAATTTTTGATTTACAGGCATTTAGACCATCATAGGCTATGGGATCCCAATGAATTTGCTGTTTCCTGCTTCAAAATCATCATGTATTCTATACAGGTAGGCTTTTCCCTAGGGTTAGTTTTCCTGGCATATGTTTCAAGCACATGAGACAGGGTTAAATGCTCACCTCACCATGTTAATGATAGACAGTAGATTGTCAAAGAATCCAGAAGTTCCCTTTCCATAACTCCTTAGCCTTCAGACTTTTCAAACAGTAACCTAATTGTGATTTGTGATCAGAGGTTGTCTGATTTACTTTCAGTTGATGCGCATTTGTAGAAGAAAAGATGCTAAGGGATTCTCAGTGGAAGGTCAGGTGAAAGTACTCCAGCAAGCTCCAGAAGAAGGGTCAGGATAGCCACACTGATCTGACATTGTGCTTGATAAATATATCTCTTTTCAGTTGGTCATTCTTGTGCTTTAGACCCAGCCAGGAGCTGAGCACCATGTGGCCACTCACCCCTCCCCAACCCCTCAAACAGGAGGGAAAAGAGGGAGAAAAATACAAAACCCCATGGGCTGAGATAAGGAGAATCTAATACAACAATGCAAAAGGAGAAGTTCTAACAACAAAGAGTGACAGTAATGAAAATCTACATGAAACAAGAAGTACGGAATGGACCTGCAAATGGCCAGTGCCATGGACTGGCTCAGTTTTCTGTCCCGGCTTTGGGTGAAAGTCAACCCTAGCCTGGCCAAATATCTCCATGCCAATACAGCTGTACTACTTCTGCAGTCCAGAAACCGGCTTCATATGGGACTGTTACAGATTTTTTTTTACTAATGGGCAACGTCTGTTTTCTGTTGTAAACATGATCAAAGTCAGATTCTTGGATTGTATGAAGCACAGACACCCAAAAGACAAGTCATAGAACTCTAGGCTTGTGAAAAAAGCCTTGAGTTTTCTCAGTGTTTGTATCATAGGTGCTTTTTTTGTAAGACCAGCTGAAGTCTTTGAAGTGCAGTTAGGTGAATGAAGTACCACTTCACTCTTCTGTTCTTGTAGATGTTCCTGGATATTTTAATGCTGTAGGCTTTTCTATATTGGGCTGGATGGACCTGTGTGGTTTCTACCATGGTAGTTTTTTTTTTTTTAATCCACATCTAATCACAAATTGATTGAAATTTCAATAAATTTACGAGTAAGAGTGTTGCAGAATAGGAACATGGTTGTGACTGTAGCTGAATGGTGTATGAGTTTGTTCTTATTAAAGTCATAGATTAAGTTTTTGTTTCTGCTTGGTTTTTAATAGGCACAATATTCCCATCATGTGATACAAGAAATTCTTGGACACCTTGATGTTCGCAAAAGAGACTCCCCACGAGTTCGGGCTGGCATTATCCAGGTTCTTTTGGAAGCAGTTGCAATAGCAGCTAAAGGATCAATAGGTAACTTGTTTTAAAAGCATCAGGTCAAAGGATAGATTTGAAGGGCAGTGTTCATTTTTGATTTGTTTTCAGACTGAAGGAAAGCAGATATTTTAAGGTTTTGTATTTAATAATTTTTTTTCTCACTTGTGCTGCTAAAATGTTTGAAATCTTACTTGGTTTAAAGCGACTCAAACATATTTGGTGGTTTGACTGCTTTTAATCCTTTAAATTTAAAAAAATTGATGTATTTCCACAGCCTTGTAAAAGGCAGGAATTCATGTTTGGTTAGAAGTCATATCTAAGAGAGCTGTGTGTGACTCTACAAAATGTCAGGAGCACTGTCACTTGGTGATAGAGCTGCTGTGAGATAAGTTGGTAATACAGGAATCCAGAGCAGAATAATCTTTCAGAAATTTCCCTAGTGAAGCAGCTGAAATAGGGTGCATTGTGTCATTTAAGTTAGCATAGTTTCTTGAATTAAGAGTTGTTACAAAGCTGTGTACACACATGTGCTCTGCTGTTGTTTTTTTTTGGTCTCCTGCTGATGCTTCGTTAGCTTGAGTCTGAGCCTGTTCTTTCTCTTTACACAAGTCCTATTTCCATGCACAGACCTGGGAAGTCTTTTACCATATTAGGAAGAGAGCTCTTTATTTGATCCAATATACAGAACTGGATTTTAGTAGCAGGTTTTGAAGTAACTGAAATTCAGGTGCAAGTACCTGCAGTTTAACATGCTGTTGATGCTGAATTTCAGCAACCACTCATATTTTCTATGTAAAACTTGTATGGTGGGTTGACTCCAGCTAACAGCTGAGCATGACTTTATATGTTACAGAATGACCCTTTGGTCAGTTTGGGTCATCTGGCTCAGTCTGTGTCTCCCCCCAGTTTCTTGCACACCCATCCTACTCTGTAGGATCAGAGTGGGGAAAAAGAAAAAACCTTGACCACTTGCTAGCACTGTTCAGCAACAGCCAAAACACTGCTGCCTTATCAACACTATTTTAGTTACAAATCCAGTGCAGCACCACCCAGGCTGCTGGGAGGAAAGTTAACTCCATCCCAGCCAGAACCAGTACGACTTGATCGTAGGGGATTACGCATATGTGCCTGATTGAATGTCCTGATTCCAAAATAATTTCTAAATTACTTAAGTCATAAAATATTATGATAAACGTATTTATCCTAAGTGTGGTAGTAGACACACTTCAAAAGCTTCTCCTTAGGCCATATCCCTCAAACACTGAATTGCACTTGTTCTTTTCAGCTTAACCTGATTTCTTCTGAAAAGGGATCGAAAAGGTCAGTTTCTGTTTTCTTAAGGCATCCTTCCCTAGAGAGGTGCAATCATTGTTACGTGTTGCTTCCAGGTCCCACGGTTCTGGAGGTGTTCAATACCTTGCTGAAGCACTTGCGCATCAGTGTTGACTTTGAGCTGGGGGACAGGCGCAGTTCCACAGGAAGCGCCACTTTGAGCACGAGCTCCAGGGAGAGTGATGAGAGGATTGTCCAGAATGCTATTATTCAAACAATTGGTGAGTAAAGGCAGTTACATAGGCGTACTGAATTCCCCTCCCTTCCTCAATGAGATGGCATTTAAACAGCTTGAATCAAAAAGGAGTAGTGGCAGTTGTGGTATCTTTGTACTTGCCTCTAAATCTCAGGCTCACTTGATGTTATTTGATTTCTGAAAGACTGTTCTTTCAATCAACTGAGCAGGTAGCCAAGAAGCTCCATGAAAATTACAAATACTGGTGGACTTAAAATAAATTTGTTGGTTGTTATTATGTGGCCCTTGAGATAAAGACATAATTCTGAACATTTGGTACAGAACTATATTAGTCCTTCTATGAAAATCATGTTGCAAGCAGTCATATATACAGTCATTTTTTAGTAGGTACTACTTAGAGATTTGTAGATACAGATGTTAAACAGTGGCAACAATGACACCTAATTAGTCCAGGTTGCTACCACGACTTAACAGAAATGGGTTTAGCCACAATAATGAAAATGAGAGCAATGGTTTCTGTAACTGATTTCATTAGTAGCATGTCCTCTGTTTTCAGGTTTTCTCTTACATTAGTGATTTCTATATTGCAGTGGACTTACAATGTGTGTTCCTTTGCTTGATGAAGGAGGAGGAAATGTAACTCCAGTGTTGTTCACCATTCTGTGCCTTTGCTTATGCCTTGAAGCTTTCTAGAGCAGTAGCCAATATGTAGTAGATTATTTCTCACCATTACAATAAAACTCTAATAAAAAAAATCCCCCAATACCCAACCTTTCCAGGTTGGACAGGGATTGGATTAGATGACCTTTAAAGGTCCCTTCCAACTCAAAACATTCTATGAAAGTAAAAGTTCTTTCTATCAAAGTTATATTTCTACTATTGCACAGCAATAGAATAGACTATCTCAAGTTGGAAGGACCCTTAAGGATCATCTAGTCCAAATCCCTGCTCCTCGCAGGACTACCTAAAACTAAACCATATAACTAAGAACATCATCCACATGCTCCTTGAACTCTTGACAGGCTTGATGACACGGTGTTACGTGAAAGGGAAGGGGG